AACCGGTGCCGTGGCTGTTGCCATCGCAGGAGTCACCCACTGCAGCCTTTACAGCAGAAGGCACAAAGCGCACACGCGTGCATGGGCACACACGTGCACGGGCACATGCATCCGGCATGCAAATGCTTCTGGGGAGGACGCCAAGAAAGAAAAAACAAGAAGAAAGAGCGTAATCGCGGAATAAAAGAGGACGGCGTTCACGCCGCTCGGGCGGCCGTTTGTCAGCCCCCAACCCTTGAATAAGAGAAGGCCGTTCCTCCCGTCGCACTGCTGCTCCCTGCAAAAACATCAGCTGCTTCTGCTGCCTGGCAGAGTTTAGAAGATGAGAACAAGGAAAGAAGAGGGAGAAGGGGGGGGGGGGGGGGAAAGAACCTTATCTTGTAGGCTCTGCATCAGCTCTGAAGTCAGGACAAATTTGCTTCTGCTCAAAGTGGGCTTTAAAAACACCAGTTGCCCCAGTCAGAGGGAAGCCTGCAAAGCTTTGATCAAGACACTGGCATGTGCTCACCTGGTGACAGACAAAGTCAGTAAGGGATACACCCCACAGAAGCAGGACCCCATCCAGGTTTGCTTTCATGCCAGAAGATTCTCCTACTTACCACTGTGAAGGTTTTGATTTTCTACCTCCAGGTGAGAAATTCTGGAAAGGAGTTCATTTTGGTCACCAGCAGGCCCAGCAGCGGTTGCGCTTGCACTCTGCAACAAGGAAAACCGAGATGAAACAAATCTGTTCACCTACTCCCAAGCTCAGTGGTTCAGTGAAGCAAAGCAGAGTCATGCCTTCAGGGAAGAAGAAAATTTGAGAGCTAATCTAAGAGCAAGGGCATTTTCTCTAAAGGCTTTATAAAAAGAATATACTAGTTCTATAGAATGAAGCGTGGAACATATCTCAAGAAATTTCAGCTGGCACTGATGAGCAAAGGATAGTCATTCTTTGCAGTCTCAGATCACAGACTGCCACTAAACACACAAAAAGTTTTGAAAGTTTCGTGCTAACCCCCTTAAATGGGGCAGCTGGTCTCCCTCTCACAGACAAATTGAGGCACAGAGCACAGAAGTGACCTGCCTAACGTCACACAGCGAGTCACTGTGAAAGCTGGAAAGAGATCCCGGCATTTCTATACTTCCCATCTTCCCCGGTCCAGCCTTTAACTCCTCTCAAAACAACTTAAAACTACTTTAACACATCCTGAGGGAGCAAATTATACCGATCCAGCTTCAAAAGTATTTAACAGCAAAAAAGAGCTTGCCTTTTTTTTTTTAAGGAGGCCCTTATCTATAAATTCAAATCAGCAAAGGGAAAGAAAATAACAGGCCTTCGCACTTAGTGTCATTTATAATCTAATACAACAATAGAGGAAATAATTTATACTCTTTTAAGTGCACCCTGCATATAATTATAACGTGGTTCTTGGTTGCGGTTGACATGCTTCTGAGATCTCAGCAGTCACTTAAGATGAAGAGAGGAGAATACGGGGGTTAAGATGAAGAAAGAGGAATATGGGGCACGCGGAAAGCAGGTCTCAGGATGCCCGGCCCTGGGAGACACACGGAGCAGTGCGAGCTGCTCCGAGCAGGAAGGTCAAAGAGACCATTCTCTACCCACCCAAAAAGGGGCAGGGGCCAGATGTCAAAAGCACCATTAAACCAATCTCCGACACAACCTTTGCAGCGGATGCAGGCTCAGAAACACGAGTGCAGATCTGCAGTCCCCAGACACCAAGCTGGGAGACCTGAATGCCCTGCTAGAAGATCCTGTTATATAGGGTGAGCTACGACCACGTGCCAAAGGACAAATGCTTCTTGTCGTAAGGAAGGAGAACTTGGTCCATCTCTCCAAGGCAGGGCTGTCCTTGCCCTGCAACGTCCTCTCAAATCACACAACCAGCTCCGTCCGTGCACAGGTGACTTACAGTTGAGCGGCCTGACTGCCTCTTGTGACGGGCAGAAGGAGCTTCTTTGCTACGAGGAACTGTCTTCTGCTGCAAAGGTTCAACACAGAAGATAGAAAAGGCTTTCACTCACGCTGGAAGAGGCAGTTCAAGTGCAGGAAGCAGATCCACATGCAGGACAAATCATCAAGCAACAAGATACAGCCTCACGCCAACTACACACCAAACAAAGCCTGCGCAGAAACATTTATCCACGAACTCTGCCACCTTCTTGTTAAACATCTCGGTGCCTGCAGAAAGGTCACCCAGCCGGGTGGCAGAACTAGACTGAGATGTCTAGAGCATGGTCTCAGTCATCTCCCCATCTGCAAAATCAGAGGTGCAGCAGGTGCATGCATTACTGCAGCACGCAACACCGTCTTCACTAGTTCTCCTGCCATTAGATAAAATCTAATATCTGACAGACGCAGAAACACATGCAAAGTTACCAATACTCTTAACAAGTTCCCAGTTGCCACTAACGCATCTCGCCCAGGGAGGAATAAAGCAACACAACACCAGTCTGCACTAACAACTTGATGAGACCCCTGCATGGGCTTCCATCCTCACACGCACCACCAGAATAGAGGCTGCTCGCCACGGTGGGCTCATCACACCAGGCTAGCCCTAGCCTTATACACCAAGGACAAAAATTAAACCTCAGATGAACTCATTGCCTGACCTCTTCCTGTTCTGGTTACACCATCAGGGCCAAGGTCTACGTTAATTCAGTGAAAAGTGAATGCTGGCAATAGTCACATCCATCCCCGCCCCCTGAAAAAGCACTTCTTGGTTTGACTCATGATCAAACACAGGAGCTGTGTCACCTGCAAAGAGATACACAGCCGGGTTTTTTTCCAAAAGCAGCCTGCTGACTCAGCGAAGCAGCAAGCACCGCAGGTATTTGGCAGTTTGAAGCCCTCGTCACATTTTCAAGCCAAACGCTGAAGCATTTCAGCAGGCTCTGCGTTTGCCCTGGCAACTGGCTATCCTGCGCACGACCGTGGGTGTTCCGAGACACTGCAAGACAGCTGCGCCTATTCAGTGCTGCAGAACAGCCCGCTTTTAAACCCTGGCTCTCAGGTTTAGTGGAAGCATTCTCCACAGAAGCCAGCTGTGCCTCCTCATTTCTCTTCCCTCTTAGTAATAACTCCTCAAAGATGAGAAACCTAAATTGAGGCAGTGCCATCTACCTTGACACTTGTGAGCTGCCATCCTGGAGGTCAGCACTGCTCCTCCCTGTAGTCCTGCAGGAAAAACAGCTACAGCTTGGCAGGAGGCCTCCAGCTCAAGACAAACCTGCCAGCCTTGTGTGGTTGCGTCACTTAGGGGAAGAGTTTGAGAAAATCACGGCCATTTTCCCGCAAAACACTGTAGCTATGGCTTGCAAGAGCAAGGTGAGAGGACTTTGAAACACTCTGCTCTGCATGAAGCTGTTCTCAACGAGGAAGAGCATGGAAAAATGACATTTTGTTATTTCAGCAGACCTTTTGAGTAGTATAAAATACTAGAATACAAGCCTAGCTGTGTATTGCTGTCAGGTGCTGTTTGTAAAGCTTTGCGTAGCACCCAGGGAACTGCGCAAAGCAAGAGCTCTACAATGCCCGAATTCCTTTCCTTTTCATCCTTCCTTTGCCAGCTTACATTGAGCCTGCAGGTGAGACAACATTAAGGTTGCAAAAATGAAGCCCAGAGGAGAGTCAGCATTCTCAGTGGGGCATTTAAGTATGCGCCTGCCCATCAGTATGCGGTAATACAGGTAGCACAGGCGCTCGAGGAGCTACAGGACAGATATCTGGGTGGCTCCGTGGGGAGCCGTCTCACCTCCGGGATTTCTCAGCTGCAAGTCGCTACTGAGGTCTCTGCAGAAATGGCAAGTTTAACAACCTGGATGCACCTACAGGTTAAACACCCACAAAATTCATGTGAATAGTTCATTGTTGTGCACCTGGACAAACGGATTCAGCATATTACATACGCTAAGCTAACCCTAAACCAGGATTCACTTGCTCCTCCGTGCTGTATTTTTCACGCCTGTTTAAAAGGGAGGTTTACAACAGGAAGAAGGCTCACAGCGCTCACAGACATGGCACAGCATTTAAATCAACACCCTGTGCATTTCAGACATTACTTGTTAGTCTTGGGCAACCCCAGGGCAGGGCAAGCCTGAGCACAGCCATCTCTTGCTGGCAAGAAGAGAGGGATGCCAGCCCCAAGCTCAAACAAGCCAGAGATTAAAAGTCTTCACAAACCAGGCCAGCCATCCTTTGGGAACCTGTAACTGTGTAAAGCACGGTATAAGAGGCACAAACCTGGAGGTATCGGCCCTTTTCCCTTAATTTGAGTTAACCAGTTACAAAGAAGAGCGTGCAGATTTTACAGGGGCGGTCACAGATGTGATGCGTAGGTTTTCCAGTCCAGAGCTCACATGTGGTCAAGCCACATGTTCAAGAAATTGTGGTAAAGTTGCCGTTATGAAACTGAGGGCTTTCCCCTGAGGTGAGGATTTTTCAAGCTTTTAGAGATGTGGTCACCAACCTAAGCTACACACTACCTACAGTGTGTTTTTTCCTCTGCACAACCAAGCACTATTTCCTCTCCTGACTTTACTATGCCAAGAGGAAGCTCGACACAAGCGTTTGTGAATTTTATCAAGGACAGTAATTCAAAATCCCAAAGGTGGGGGGGTTCCAGAGCATCACTTCAGTCACTTCCTGTGCGTTGTCTCACGGACGGAGCTCTTTATCTTTGTTTTTTCTAAGCTTAAGCCATAGTTTTTGTGCTGAACACACATTAGTGATACACTGGCCAGTGCTGCAACCTATTCAAAATATTTTGCATAGCAGAAGCACTCAGCAAGTCTGGAACCACACCAAGGACTGCATATAAATTTAATCATCCAGGCAAATTAAAACCCTGGGGCTTATGAAGGGTAGGAAATAGAATCTAGCCTCAGCCTCAAAGGGCTTTGACCATCTGTCCCTCTCTGAAGTTTGACTAAAACATACTTTAAAAATCAGAGACAAGAACACTGACTAATGAAGAAAAAATTGGCAAAGGTTATCCTTCTCCATATCAGCTGAAAGAAATCCGTCTGGACAATTACAGGTAAAATCTCCTCCCTTGGTATGTCAGGCCCAACCAATGGACGCAGCTGGAAAGGTGGCACTTCCCTCACAAGAAGTACCTGGAGGTATCGGCCCTTTTCCCTTAATTTGAGTTAACCAGTTACAAAGAACAGCGTGCAGATTTTACAGGGGCGGTCACAGATGTGATGCGTAGGTTTTCCAGTCCAGAGCTCACAAAGCACTCATAGCTTCATCCAAAAAATAAACCTATTTTGTGCATGCAGAGATACAACACCCTTCCCCTCAGGTTGGTCTACCTGAGCTCTGGAAACATGGAAAGTTTAGCCACGGTCAGATAACACAAAACTGAACTGTGGGGAAACGATGTTGAAGAACTAGAAGAGGCTTTCCCCCGCCTAAGACCAGCAGGATGGATCCTGGCTGGTTTCCTACCGAAGGTGCGACCATTCCCTGCGCACAGATGTGTTTCTGAGTGCGGTCTCCAGGTACTTTTAGCAAGATCAGAGGGGTTTGGGGAGCTTTTCTTGTTTGAATCCCACGCACGGGAAATGCACAAATACAGAGGCTTCGTAATAGGGAGCTTGGGCAGAGAGGGGAATAACAGAGCTTCAGACGCCCGCACCAGCCACCTACCCAGCGAGACCCCTTTCATTACAGCCCCCGAGAAGGGTTTAGGAAGTGAGAGTTCAGCCACTCACTCTGTTGGACTTGCTTATGACCTCAGGCAAGTCAATCCTTTCCGTGCCTCAGGTCCCCAGCTGTAAGATTTCTCACCGCCTGCAGTCTCAATGCCACCAGCTGCAGTACTGCACATGTTAACAACTTTATATCTAGGAAAGCATTAGCGATCGAGCAGATGTCAGCCGAGAGATTGTTTAAAGCAGAGATGACCATGCAAAGCGGGATGAAAGGTATGTGCAAACAAATGTTTCCAGCATCAGAGCTTTGTACCCTCCTTCGGGAGGTACAAACCACTGCCTCAACCCTTCTAATGCTCATTCACACATTTCAGAACAACATTATCCAGCTGAAGCAGATCTGAAACTAGCCTTGGCTGAATTGCACTGCAAAAGGCAGGCACTAATCTTCCATCTTCCCATCTGAAAAGAGCCAACTCTTCACTTGCTACATCTTTGGACTCCTGACAATAACTCTGCATGTTCAGGCGGAAGGAAAGACTAAATCCTGACTATAAAAACATGCTTCACTGCTCTGTAGATCAGATAGTATAAATTTGGCTTTCTGAAACAAAAAACAAAGTTTAAGCATGTTCTAAAGTCAAGCCTGCTTTACGCCACGGCTGTCCAAGATTAATGACGACCCTTTAGAAATGCCAGCTACAAAACCTGATGTTTCAGACTCATTTCGCAACAGCTCAGTCTTTCTAACTCGCACATTAACACAGAAGATCCGACCGTGGTTTACCGCTTCAGGTTCCAGGGCAGAGATGTGGCAATGTGTGGAAAAAACTTAAAAGGTGAGCTCTCCAGGGTATCGTATAAGCCAGGGTAAGGCACAATCAGTTAAACAAGACTACAAAACAGAAAGGAGGAGGAGGTCATTGTTGCCACCTGCTCTGCTTATCTAGGCAACTGCATATTTTGGGAGCAGAATGGCAGGTAGAGGTTAGATAAATTATGGAGTGCCCCTGACAGCAATGCAGATTAGGGTGCACAATGCTTTCTCTAATACAGTTGTGTGCAGTACATAATGCTTTTCTTTCAGGCCTTCAATGGAGAGTCCCAATCCACTTTTTGCAACATCCCAGATTCCAGTTTTAAGGCTCTATGGCTCAGTCCTGACCTTAAATCCTCAAGCCCTCCAAGCTTTCTTCACAGGCACAAAAAAAAAAAATCCAGCAGATGAATTTTTTATATTCAGCACTAACCCCAAGAAGTGCCACAGGGGTGCAAAGGACTTGATATTCTCAAATTTGTTCTGGCTTTGGTCTGGTGCTTTGCCAGTTCCCCCAGTCTTCCCCCCATTACGGGACCTGGACGACCCAAATGACCCATGCTTCTCACACAAAGCAGCTCTTTAACAGGAGTCACAGGCCAGGGCAAGAAACTCCTCATCTTTGGCAAACCACAGACCATTCAGCAAGATGAGAATATGCCTTCAGGGTAGACCAGCAGCCCTGCCAGGTGATTCGTATTTAGGTTCCCTGTCCCTACTCACCACATCCAGCCTCTGCTCCTGAAGGAGGCCGGTCTTGGAGAAAGCAGCTGCTGCTAGACCTTGCCCAGTTTGAAAAGGTCTTTCCAAAGTCATTTAACACCACGCAAAAAGTTCTCCAACCCTGCCTGGGATAGGGGCTCATTTCCTCACATATTTGCCTTACTAAAGGCCAAACTGAAAGTCTTCGACAGAGGCTGATAGTCTCTACCGAAAGCGCAAACATGTTGTTTCAGATCTGAACTTAAATGAGCCAGTTCAGGAAAATCTTCCCTAAGCTGTTGGCTGAAACACGGATGCTGAAGTAAGAAACTAGCATTAGAAAACTTCCAAGTATTTTCCTCCTCAATGTGTTTTGGTTTGGTTTTAATATTACTAAGATGTCCCACCTTTCCATTGATTCCCAGGCTGTACTCGGGACCAATGAATCTAAGCAAATTTAATCCTTTCATCAAATTTGCCCTGATCTTTCTGCATCCACTTCCAAGCTTCCAGTGCAGTACTGAGTATCTTGGATCACTCACATGAGCGGTTGCAGAAGTTGCTTTTGTAGTGTCAAGTTCAACAGGCACAGTGAGACCACCATGGGGAAAGCAATTAGCCTAACTCCTTCGCATTCACCCCAAATTTATGGCTCCTTTCTGCTTGTGTTAAGGAAGAATATGGAATATTCCCCTTGAGAAAGGCTCGATTCCCTTTACTGTACTTACCTAGATAGAAACTGAGGGTGTTAAAAATCCCAAGAGGGACTTATGAGGCCAAATCAATATAGATAAAGGATGGATACCCTCAGATGGAAGATATGTGCAGGTATGTAGTAGTCCCACTGCAGAGGTAAGAAATCAAGACACATGGGCTGTATTCTGTGAATTTTCTTCACCCATGAAACCAGTCCACTTATTAATTTAAGATCTCAGCTTTCTCTTGAAAAATGAAGAGTTTTAACAGTGCTGTCTGTACATATCAGCACAAAAACACCTCCAGAAAGGATGTTACCGAACTTCTACAGGATGGTCCAGACTTAGAGCTAGTAGCCAAGCTGAGTTCCCTAGATGCAGCAGATGGAAGATAGCATTTTTTTGCACATACCTTAACTGAAAGTGAAACAGGAAAGAGAAGGTGGCAGCTCAGTGTACCCCGAGAGACATACGTACTCCTGCTGGCAGCTCAGTGCTTTGCTACCCAGCAAGGTTATTTTAACAGTAACTCGTAACTTGTTAGGTAAGACCTGTGGGAACATTCCACCAGGAGAAAAAGAAAAGAAATGCACAGCAAAGAATTTTAACCCAAATCCAGTTAGTTTTAAAAAGCACTGCAGGCTAGCAAGCAGGTAAGCAGCATGCACTCTGTAGTAACGGTGCTCTTGATCAGATGGAGCTATGCTGGCGGTACACAGCGCTGCACACCTCAGTCTTCTCTAACTTAAAAATAAGAAGCCACACAATCTATGAAGTGGTCACAGCGGAGTTCTGTGAGATGCACCACAGCTAAAAATGGTTGCAGGTAGCCAGCTGGTGAGAGAGCTTGGGTACTCACTCCGGCCAGCGATTTCTGGATATTCTCCCTGGCTCTGGCAATGTCGCGTAGGATCGTGCTGGCTCCGTTCTCCTGCAAACAGTGCAGAAAGAACCAAGATTTTTTTTAAAAAGATATGAAACATGGGAACCAGTCAGGGAAGTTAAAAAAAAAAAAAAAAAGAGGGTAAGAGTGGGGGAGGGTTCCTTCCAATGATTCAGCAAGTATTGCAAAATTAGCTGCAAGGATTGGATCTAAACCAAGCAGCACCAACTGCAATCCCTGGTCACATCAGGCCACGTGTCCAGAAGATCATCCAGTCAAGAGCTTTTCAAATTCTCTGTTACTGCCCTGAACGGTTTGGACAGCTGCCAGCCAGGCAGAGGGTTGGAGTCACTTCAGTGCTCCTTACAGATCTATCGTTAGGCAGCTCTTTTTCGTAGTATTACCTGTCATTGTATTCAGGCAAGAAGTGACAGCCCTAACTGAAGTCTTCTATCCAGAGAGGTACGGCCCAGAGTAGAGCAGCACAAGTTGGGTTTTTTTTCCCCCCATCCTCCTGCTGCCGTGCCTTAGCCTGGATTTGAAGATTCCCTTCCTAGGGCACAAATTCAGTTTCCATGATCCATTAAGTCCTTGCCTCTCCCAGACTGCAACCCCATAAGCAAGATCGGAGACATGAAACTGCCCACAAGCCTAAAACCCTGTGTCCAACAGACCATACAAGAGCAACAGCCTGGACACATTCAGGTGGATACCACTTCCAGGTTGCAGGAAGGTTTTTAAGGAGCGGCAATCTTTTTCCTTAGCAGGGAAGTGGCTGATAAACTGCTGCAGGATCTCCCCCAGAGCCTTCACACCACCTCTCAAAGGCAGAACTTCTTCACTGGAAGCTCCTTACGTGGCATGAAATAGTCTAACTGTCCTAAGAGCACTGCAGAGGTTTGCACTTTAACATCTACTTCAAGGCTTATCTATAGCTTCTAATTTTTATGCACATGTCC